AAATAAAGACTTCTAAAGAAGAGAAGAATATTTTTTGTGGATTCTTTTTTTTTGGGAAAAATACTTCAAAATAAAGGAAACCCATATTTTGGATTTTGATGATTTTTTTCTTTTTTTTTAATTTCATTTTTCCGTATGAAAGACTTTAGAAAAAAAAGGAAACTAATTTTTTTTGAGTTTAAAAGAAACTTTTTTTTTGAATTTTCTAAGGAAATATTTCTAAAGAAGGAACTAAAGGAAAATATTTTTGGATTTTTGAAAATTGGGGTCGGAACCGATGAGGTTTGCCTACATATCTCACATCCGGTGAGAATCAGACCCACATAGTTCGGTCAATTTTGACGGAACAGGGAAACATGATACTTGAAAATTTTGGCTCATTTTGAAATGACTTTGTTTTTTTCTTTCTTTTTTCACAATTTCAGTAGAGTTTCAGGATTTTTTTTTCAAATACTCAGGTTTTTCAGAACCGGGCTTTATTTCCTTCCTACATCGCTCTTGGTTTTTCTCTTGATTTTCTTTTCCTAGCCGGTCAACCTGCAAGCCGAAACAAATTATTTTTCACATAGCACGTCGGATGCATCAGGATGGTCTGTTATTTTGGCTACACCTGTCCTAGACGGACCCAACCCCTGTGTTGAGTCCCCAAAGTCAAATGCACGTGATGTAAATAAACATTCCTACTAGGGATCCGACATGAGGTTACATTATTCTAAGTTTAACTTGGGGTTGTGTTCTAGACCTGGCTTACCCGAATGGACAACTCGAGCCGAAGAGGGGGCAACGTACCGGGAGCGCGAAAGTCTACCCGACCTTGGTGCTGGTGTGACGACCCGGCTAGTCGTCTCTTGAGTTACCTCTCTGTTTTCCATATTTTTTCTTCTTATTGCTTTGTCTATCAGTTCTAGGTGTGATTGGGTTGGTTGGATCAGGTTCGGAAAAGTTTTGAGAAGGTTTGAGACACTTAGTCTCTCTTGAGGAAGCTTAAGTTGGAAAAGTCAACCAAATGTTGACGTATGTATTTGGGAGCTCAAATGTGAGTTTCGATGATTCGGATAGCTTGAGAAGGTGATTTGGGACTTAGAAGCATGATCAGAATGAGTTTTGGAAGTTTGGAGTAGATTTAGGCTTGAATTGGCGAGGTTGGTATTTTGGCAATTTTCGGTTGATAGGTGAGATTTTGATATAGGGATCGGAATGGAATTCCGCGAGTTGCAGTAGTTCTGTCATATCATTTGGGATGTGTGTGCAAAATTTCAGGTCATTCAGACGTGGTTTGGTTGGGTTTCTGATCAAAAGTGGAATTCGGAAGATTTTTGGAATCTTAGGCTTGAATTTGATGTGATCTTGGTGTTTTAATGTTGTTTGAGGTATTTTGAAGATTGGTATAAGTTTGAATAAGGTTATGGGGTATGTTTGTGTTTTTGGTTGAGGTCCCGAGGGTCTCGGGGTAATTTCGGATGGTTACCGGAGAGTTGGAGTTTTTGGTAAGCTGCAGATTTTTGCTGCTTCTATTGTTGCCGCACTTGCGGATTGGGGACCGCAGGTGCGACGCCACATATGCGGACGATTGGGCGCAGAAGCGGAGGAAGGTGAGGTACGTTGTGACCGTAGAAGCGGTTGGGTTACCGCACCTGCGATGGCGCAGGTGCGGAGTGAGCATCGCAGATGCGATTTTGGTCGCTTTAGTGAAAACTGCAGAAGCGGTTCATTGGCCGCAAATGCGGTACCGCGGAAGAAGGAAATTGCCCACAGATGCAAAATCCCTAGGCCAGAAGGTATAAATTATTTCCTTCGCGATTTTTAAGCTATTTCACCATTTCAAGTCGATTTTGGAGCTTTTTGGGAGATTTTAAAGAGGGAATCAAGGGATATCATCTAGAGGTAAGATTTTCGAGTCTAATAATCGATCCTATGGTATTATTTCATGGATTAGAGCTGTAATTAATGGAATTTAAGGGTTAAAATTGAGGAAACTAGGGCTTGGTATTGAAGACCTAGACTTGAGGATTTGAGGGGCTATTTGTGGTTGGATTGTGGGACTTTTAATATGTATTAATTCGTGGAGAGATAAGGAATCTATTGATGTAAATTTTATCGAATTCCGAGACGTGGGCCCGGGGGTCGGGTTTTGGTTAATTTCGGGATTTATGCTATAAATTAATTATTTTCGCTTGGGCTTTGTTCCCTTAGCATATTTTGACGTCGTGATTCTGATTTTGGATAGATTCGATGCGAGTGGAGGCCGATTCGAGGGGCAAAGGCATCGCGGGCTAGAATTTGGACCGGATTAAGGTGAGTAATGATTTTAAATGTTGTCCCGAGGGTATGAAACCCTGGATTGCACATTGTTGTGCTATATTGAGGTGACACACATGCTAGATGACGAGCGTGGGGTCGGGCACCGTTGGGGATTAGGACTTAGTCCATCCCGAATGACTGTATTACCGCATATTTGATTGAAAATTGTTTGCTATCATCATCTTTGGGCTGAATGCCATATTTGGGCCTCGTGCCAACTATTTGGACCATTAGGGGATTTTTACTGATTTTCCTTACTGTTTTGACTTATATTTGAACTCAGTCATGCTATATTCTACTATTTTCATAACTCAGCCATGTTCATTCTACTTTAACACTTAAAATGATATTTTGGGCTTAGCATCATGTTTTACTGTTGCCCGAGTGGCTTGTGAGATTCTGTCTGAGTAAGGCTGAGGGCCTATATTGTGAGGAAACACCTAATTATGATTTTGAGGCCGAGGGCCTGAGATTTGTATGCCACGAGGTGACTTGTGATATGAGGCCGAGAACCTATGTGATTATGCCACGAGATGACTGATATTGCGCTTGGGCCATAAGGGGCCCCTCCAAGAGTCTGCATACCCCAGTAAGCGCGGGTACCCATTGTGATGTGAGATATAGACCGAGGGGATGGTGTTGTTCTATGATGTTGCCTGAGGGGCGAATTGTGTTGACATTGTGCACGACGAGTGGTTCTTTATGTATTTATCTTTCCTAGTTGCCTGTCATTTACTTTCTTAATTGTTAAAAAGGCATTTTTAAGAAGTTTAAACTGAACTAAAGTGACTTCACATATTTTTATTGCTTCATTGTTTTTACTGGCTTTTACTGCTTTTTTATAGCATGTCGATGTGCCTTTACGTGATTTCTTATTACTCAGCCTACATTTATTGTTTGTACTCACTGAGTTGGAGTACTCACTTTAATCTCTGCACCCCGTGTGCAGATTCAGGCGATTCAGGTCCTGCTTGCGAGGGGTGAGAGCTTCTAGCAGATTCCGGAGTTTACCAGGTAGTTGCTCGGCATTCGCAGCCTCGTGCTTCTCCCCCTATCTCATTTCTTTTCTCTTGTTAGTGTTCTGTAATAATTTTTGTAGACTCTTTCAGACTTGTAGCTTCTATGATAGATGCTCATGACTGGTGACACTCCGATGTCAGGCTGTGTTGGTTTTATTTCCGCAAATTGTACTATTTCACTGCTTAACTGATGATTTAATTGTGTTAAAGACTTAAATTATGTATTTTTAATTGTTAAATGGAATGTTAAGTCATCTAGCCTTGTCTTCTCGAGAGGCGCCATCACGACCGGGTCCGGTTTAAGGTCGTGACAGCTGGCCCAGCCTCGTTCTATTTGGTATAACTTATAACAGAAAAAGTGGGCCACGCGAACGTGTGCACCATTTTTTTTGAAGACTCAGAAGGGAGGTGTAAGAAGACAGTTTAATAGAGTTCAAGTAATATCATAGCGGTATATAAATGACAATTAGCACATTAAATACAGTAATATCAACAATAAATAAAGCCAAGTAAAAATCATATTAACAAGCTCGAATTCTTGAACTCTGAACCAAAGGTTCTGGGTTCTCTTCTCCAACAGAGTCGCCAGAGATGTCACACCTCCCTTTTTACCGCCTGAGGGGGTATATAAGGGAGTTTTTCCAATTAAAGTGACATTATTCAAAATGGAATTATTTTATTTATTTAATCAGAGTCGCCACTTGGAATAATTTATTTGGTGTCCCAAGTCACCGGTTTATTTTTAAAATCCCAAATCGAGAAAATTTTCAACTTTATTTAAAAGTCTGCGAACCAGAAATTCTAGATAAGGTATTCTGTTACCCGGGAGAAGGTGTTAAGCATTCCTGGGTTCCGTGATTCTAGCACGGTTGCTTAGAAATTTATACTTGGCTTAAATTGTTTAACTACTCATTTTAGGACCTATGTGCATTTATCCTTTTTACCACTTTTAGTTGCTTAAATATTCGTAATTTTGAAATTATCTAAAGGAGTTACGCGTACGTGTACTCATTTCATTTAGCGCATCAAGAATCATGTCACGCATACGTGTCCACAATTAATCACACTTTATTAATATTAAGAAAGTTTGGTCAAAGTTGCGCAAACGCATACTCCGATTTTGATTTTAAGATTGCAATTATGTCACGCGAACGTGTACACAATCACGATGATAGATTAAGTCGTGCCTAAAGCATTTTCTACGACTCGTGTCACGCGAACGTGTACACAATCAACGATGATAAACGTCCTAAAGGTTTTCCTACCCAAATGTTAGCAGACCTAAGCATACCATTGGCGAACAAAGTAATAAAGCAAGAGTAAAGAAAAAATAATCCAAATAAGCTCAAATTACTATATATAAAAAATGTTTCTAATATGCTCTTTAGATCCAAATCTTGAAGCTCAATATCATTTGTTCTTTCAATCCAACCCTACGGTGTTTCGAACAATTCCATTTTTTATATTTATTAATAAAACCAATTCAAAACCTATCTAACTGCATTTCCAATCCAGCAACATCATCAAAAGAACAATTCAACATCAAGTCATGGAAATGTAGCAAACAAACCCAGATAACTAAGAAAAAGTAAAGCAAGCATGTTATAGTCCATAAAAGCATAAATCAAACCTTCACAAATAATTAGAACAATAATATTAAGGAGGAAAAAAGAGATGGACCTTCAGCAACCTTTAACGATTATCCGTTTGGAAACACTAGCAAAACCTGACGCCGGGACTCGCGAAAAATCGGAATAAGCCAACAGGAATTCGTAGACCAAAACTCGAACATACGGGGAACCTCAAATCCTCGAACGCGGACCAGATCTCAAGCATAATCCATTTTCATTTTACTTGCCTATCGAAGTCTGATTTTTGACCAAAAAAAAAGAGAAGCTAATGTTGTTCTTGTGTGATTTTTTTGTTTGGAGTCTGACTACCTTTTTTGTTTTTTTGGGTGGGCTGGAGTTTGATCTTTGGCTACTGTTTGGTTGTCCGCCGTATTTCTTGCCAGATATGGCACCCTCCGATGCAGCAGTGACAGAGAAAAGAGAAAAACGACGAAGAAAGAAGAGCAGTAGTCGTCGCCGGTTTTGGCTGAGCTCGTCGGATTCAATGGAAGATCGTTGGAAGGTTTGAGATATGATGTCTGGCGTATTTGGGTGGAAATGGACGGCAGATATCAAGGTGTGTGAGGGTTGGTCGTTGATTGTTCGCTGGTGGGTCTGGTTTTGGGTGTTCTCGGTGTTGCTTCTGGTCTAGGTCCCTTGGAAAAGAAGACGACGTGGGGGGTCCTTTCTTTGTATTGTTGCGGCGGATTTCTTAAAGGTCTAGGTATTGGGTCCTTTTTTTATAGGGGTAGGAATTAGGTTAGGTCAAATGGGGAATGGGTGTTTTGGGCTTGAAGGGATTTGGGTCATGAATTTGGGTTAATTAACTTTGGGGTAGGAAGACTAAATCAAAATTTTTCTTTCTTTTTTTCATTATTCTTTTTCTTTGATTTTACAATCTAATAAAATCCTAAATTAATCTTAAATCAATCTAATTTGTAAAAATTAAAATTGTTTATCTACTAAAACAACTAATTAACTTAAAACTAAATAGAAACACTATTTTCTAAAGACTAAAAGCTAAATATGTAAAAATGACCGTTTTTGTGATTTTTCTTAATAAAATTAATTCCTACATGCAAATTGGACCTAAGATGACATGAAATTAAAACGTGATATTTTTTATCATTTTTCTATGATTTTAAAATATTAAAAATGCATGAAATGTAACTAAATAAAGAAAAACTTCTAAAATCCCTTAAAAATTATTTTTGGTTTATTTTAGGAGTTATTTTCATGTAGGGCAAAAATTAGGTGCTGTCACACCTCCTTTTTACCACCCGAGGGGGTATATAAGGGTGTTTTTCCAATTAAAATGACATTAATCGAAATGGGATTATTTTATTTAATTTTTCAGAGTCGCCACTTGGGATAATTTATGGTGTCCCAAGTCACCGGTTTATTTTAAATCCCAAATCGAGGAAATTTCGACTTTATTTAAAAGTCTGCGAACCAGAAATTCTAAGTAAGGAATTTTGTTAACCGGGGAGAAGGTGTTAGGCATTTCCGGGTTTCATGGTTCTAGCATGGTTGCTTAGCAATTTATACTTGGCTTAAGTTGTCTAATTACTTATTTTAGAACCTATGTGCATTTACCTTTTTTCGCTTTTAATTGCTTGATTATTCGTAATTTTAAAATTATCTTAAAAGGAGTCACGCGTACGTGTACTCATGTCACGACCCTAAACCCGAACCCAGTCGTGATGGCACCTCTCGTGAAGACAAGGCCTGCCGACACTTCCCATTTTTCCAATTTTTTAACAGTTAAGCATCAAGAACTATCTACATATGATAAAATAAGTCAAAAATGACAGATGATAACATAAATACGCGGAAGAACACCCATACACAACCTTAACCGGGGTGTCACTAGTCATGAGCATCTATAAGTCATAATACAAGTCTGCTAAGTCTATAAGCTAGTACAGATGTCTGAAAAGAGATAGAGATGATTAAGGAGTAAAGACAGGGGGCTGCAGACGCCAACAGCTACCTCGTGAAATCCAAATATCCGCTTGAAGCTGGAGGGATCAACACTCGGGAGCGGAACCAGCTACGCCTGAATCTGCACACAGGGTGCAGGGAGTAAAGTGAGTACTCCAACTCAGTGAGTAACAAATGTAAATAACGACTGAAAGTAAGAAAACATATAAGGCACAAGACATTCTATAATGAAGCAGTAAAACCATTTAAGAGTAGTAAACCAGTGAAAAATTAAGTAACAATCCTTTTTCAACAAGTAAGCAGGTAATTGATAGACAATTAAGGTAAAGTAAACAAATAGAAGTTTGCCCCTCGGGCAACATCTCAGAACAATACCAGCCCCTTGGGCTCAATCTCACATCACAATGGGTACCCGCGCTAACTGGGGGTGTGCTGACTCCTGGAGGGGCCCCTTACGGCCCAAGCGCAATATCAAGCCATCTCGTGGCATCATCACTAGGATCTCGGCCTCATATCAATCAAGCCACTTTGTGGTGTACATATCTCAGGCCCTCGGACTCAAATCAATATCAGTGTTTCCTCACAATATAGGCCCTTGGCCTTACTCAGTCAAAAATCTCCACAAGCCCCTCGGGCAATAGTAAAACAATGTTTCTTAGCCCAAACATCATTTAAAATACCACTTAAGTCTTAAAACTGAGTAAACATGGCTGAGTATGAAAAACAGTGGAAAATAACATGACTGAGTTCAAGTGTAAAGTCAAAACAGTGAGGAAATATCAATAAAAAGCCCGAAGGGTTCAAATAGTTGGCACAAGACCCAAATATGGCATTCAGCCCAAATAATAATGATAACAAATAGATCTCAGTTAAATACGCGGTAAAACCATCAATCGAGACGGACCAAGTCACAATCCCCAAAAGTGCACGAACCCACGCTCGTCATCAAGCGTGTGCCTCCTCAATATAGCACTACGATGTGCAATCCGGGGTTTCAAACCCTCAGAACATCATTTACAATCATTACTAACCTCAAACCGGTCAAATCTCTAGCTCGCGATGCTTTTGCCCCTCGAATCGGCCTCCACTTGCGTCGAATCTATCCAAAATCAGAACGAGGACGTCAAATATGCTAAGGGAACGAAGCCCAAGCGAAAACAATCAATAAAGGGCACAAATCCCGAAATTACCAAGACCGGCCCCCGGACCCATGTCTTGGAATTCAATAATTTTTACACCAATAGATTTCTTATCTCTCCACGAGTTCATACATATCAAAAGTTCAGAAATCCGACCTCAAATGATCCATCAAATCCTCAATCATAAGTCTCCAATACTAAACCCTAGGTTTCCCCAAATTTCACCCTTTAATTTCAATAATTTCTAGCTCTAATCCATAGAATAATAGCATAGGAACGAGTTTTAAGTCCAAATTCCTTACCTCAATGAAGTTTCCTTGAAATCCCTCTTTCAAATCTCCCAAAAAGCTCCCAAGTCGAAGTAAAAAATGGTGAAATAACTCAAATTCGCGAAATAAAATAACTTATGTGTTTTGCCCAATTGTTCCGCATTTGCGGCACAATAGCCGCTTCTACATGTCACACCTCCTTTTTCCGCACCCGTGGGGCGCAGAGGGAGTTTTTTCCAATTAAAGGACAATCGAAACGGGATTTATTTGTTT